GGGAGGGGCATGTTGAGCTGTTCAAGACACGGCCTTGCTTTTGCAACACTTGGCTTCCTCCAGCCCCCATCCCTGTCCCAATGGGGGACAAGAGGAAGTAGATGTCCAGAACACATATCTGGGCCCAACCAAGGACTCTGAGGTTCTCACTGGCCTACCTGGTCCAAAGAAGGAAACAGAAAAGGCCAAGGTCTCTAAACAGGGGGGGTTGGGGGGCTATCCCTATCGGTGTGTCACAGATATGGAGGAAGGCCAAATCTTCCTTCCCTTTAAGGAACTGGTGTTTGAAGTCTGTGGAGTCTCACTGGGATTATGTTACCTGAATGGGGAAGTCCCAGTGTGTGGGCACAGAGAGGAGGGGAAACCAGGGCTAAATCAGGTATATGTCAAACATCTCTGAGCCTCAGGTTCTTTTACTTACAAAGTGGGATGAAGATGCAATGACTTCTGGTCAAGAACACAGACACACATGGAGACACATATGGAGACAGGCACAGACACACAGACACACATGCAGACAGACACAGACACACAGATACACACACACTGACACACATACAGACAGGCACACACACAGACACATGCAGACAGATAGACACACACACACACACACACATGCAGACAGACAGACAGACAGACAGACACACACACACACACACACACACACACACAGATACCCCTGCCATGGACTTGGTAATGGATCCAGGCTGCAGGAAGAAAACTGTACATCAACAGATGGAGAAGAGTGGCTGTTGGATCTCACCATTCCGATCAGAGTGACCCCACTTTAGGTCAGACCCCCAGTTTGTTTGCAGTAGACTGGTAGGGACGTGGTTGGGGCTTAACTTCTGGCCCGAGGGGGTGCCAAACTCAAAGGATAGAAGGATGTGGGGTGCTTCGGCAATTTTGGACAAATTTCTACAGCACAGTCCAGGACCAGGCGTCTGACGAGTCTGAACATGTGAGCCCTTCCAAGAGTTCAAGGAGCCAGTGTAGAACCGGGGAATGGGAGCCTCTCCACTGTGGAGGAGGACTCAGGCTGAAAGTGAGGCGGTGAGAGCAAAGGATGGCTGAGTGCTTCTTCCTCCCTGGGCCCTCCCAGTCTGTCTC